TAAATTGTATACCGAGTTTACCAAAATAAACCATATAATAATGTAAAATAATAGACCTTACATCGACTCTCATTCGGAAAGACAGGTTTAATTCTTCTTCTTCTTCAAGTTCCACTCCTATCGGAGATTGGAAATCATTCTGGCAATTATAATTTTATTGGTTACTCGCCTGAATAGTTCAATTGAACTGCATCCAAACCATCACGGAGATTGCGTAGCCACGAGATTTTACGTCTTCCTACGCTTCTTCTACCTTTGATTTTACCCTGCATTATATTCGTTAGTAGTTCGTACTTTTTACCTCTCATGATGTGCCCCAAGTATTCCAATTTCCTGATTTCCTTTTTAGGTTTAATAGCAGGTTTAATATACTTTTTTTTAAGAAAAATATCCGAAAATGCGAAGATTATAGGATAATATTAGCTTTGTGATGAATCTTTTAAATGTCCTCTTGACCCATCCATTTTTGTATTTCGTGATTCATCCATTATCGTTCATCCTCTTCGTTTTCTCTCTATGGTGCCAGTATTTTTCTGATAATCTTTCTCTCAAAAACTTTCAGTTGCTCTTGTTCTCTTGCTGTTAAATGTAAATATTTCTGCAACATATAGTACTATTGGACTTATGGTCGTTTTGTTAATTTTCATTTTTATATGTTCGGCTTATCTCTAAACTTATTTTTATTTCCGTAAAACGCTGTATTTTCTGCTTGAATTCTTCTTTTCATATCTACACTTTCATTTCTTCTGTTGACTTGTTGTATTACCAAATATTTGAATGTTTCAACTTATTTGAAACTGTGTGCATCTATTGTCAGTTCTGCCATTTATGTCTTCTTTTTCTTGCTTAAAATCATGTATTTTGTTTTATTTTCAGTCCTCTTAGTTTAACTTCGTTTTATATTTCTTAAGAGGTTTTCTTAATGCCCTTTTATCTGTTGCTACTATGGTTATATCGTTCGCATATTATTTATTATTCGTTATTACTAGTTTAGGCATTCTGTTTGCTGCCATTCTTTCCACATGTCCCAACCATCTGATTCTTTGTGCCTTGACGAACTTGGTAATGGTAGGTTCTTTGTATAAAGCCATTAATTCACTGTTGATGCTTCTCTCCCAACCATCTTCTGTCTTCCGTCCTTCGAATATGCGTCTCAATATTTTCCTTTCCCATCTTTCCAGAGTATCCTCTTCCTTCTTATTTAATGTCCATTTTTATTCCCTTTTGCTATTCTGGCTTCGAGCTCCCATTTCTCTTTTCCAATTTCATTGAAAACTAAGTATTCAAATTTGTCCACCCTTTTAAAACTACAGCGTTTCCCACTTACTGACCTCACACTAAAGTCTTCTTTTTTCCCTTCTGTCCCTCCCATGATCATATGTCCCTCACCATTTGGTTTTGTCTTCATTTAGTTCGAATCCTAATTTCTGTGCTTCTTCGATGATTTTCTTCACAACTCTTCTTAATTATTTCTCGGTTTTTGCTAGGATCTTTAGATCGTCAGCAAATTCCAAGCATTGGAGCTCATTTTTGATGATCGTTTCTTCCACCTTCATGCTGCATTTTATGATTACAGTTTCTAACACTAAGTTGAATAATGTAGTGAATAAAGAATCTCCCTGTCTCAATTTTTCGTATATTTTCAAATTCTAGGATGCAATATGAGTTTAAAAGTACATTTTTTATTCGCCCATCTAGACCAATTTCCAGGATATCTTGGAGTTATTAGCGAAGAGCAAGGGGAACGTTTCCACCAAGACATTAAGAAGATGGAAAGACGCTATCAGGGTAAATGGAGCGTATCCATGATGGCAGACTACTGTTGGATGTTACAACGTGTTAATCCTGACAAAATTTATAGAAAAATTTCTACCAAACGCAGTTTTTTGACAAAAAGCAAAAGATTTCATTAAGTTGTGCATACAAAATATGTAGTTTTCTTTATTTTGATCAATACTCTTATTTTTAAAATATAATAATATAATAAATGTATAAATAAACGTATTTATAAATAAATGTATTCGATAAAATATCTTAAACAGAGATAGAACGACACATTGGAGGAACGAGATATTCAGAATCATGGCGAATATTAAAAGCACTCCAATGAAATAAGACAGAGAAAACCCAGATCTGCAAAATTAGTGAAAACGAGTGGCAAGAATACTACGTAGAACGTAGAACTACTTACAGAAAACCGTCGCCAATTTTAGGAAGAGAATACAGAACATGCAGGAAATGGGACATACGACCAGATAGAAATAAGTCTGACGGAAGTCAAGAGAGCAGTCAAGACATTGAAGAAAAAAAAAAGCCAAAGGACCCGGAGGGATACCAAACGAGCTAATTAAAAACGGAACGGAAAAGTTATTCCGCATGCTACACAGAATGTTCGAAAGAGGACTAAATGGAGAGGAAATACCTGCGGAATGGACACAAGCATACATCACATCCATACATAAGAAAGAAAACAGACAAAAATGTGAAAACTACAGAGGAATTAGTATAATATCGTCGGTAGGTAGACTTTACGGGAAAATTATCAAGGAAAAACTAGAAACTGAAATAATAGGAAAAATTGGAGAAGACCAAGTACGGTTCACAGTAGGAAAATCTTGCCTAGATCATACGTACACAGAACAACTGATAGAGAAGAAAATGGCAAAAGGTAGACCGGTCTATCTGGCGTTTGTTGATCTAAAGAAAGCATACGACTCAATACCTAAAGTCAAATTATGGGAAGCAATTAATGATCTCAGAATCCGACAAACACTAATAAAAGCAGTTAAAGCACTGTACAAAGAAAACAAAATAGCTATTAAATGTGGAAATAAAGCCTACAATCCATTTAAGACGACAAAAGGACTTCTACAAGGCTGTGCTACGTCTTCTACTCTGTTTAAAATATTCTTGGAAAATATACTCAAACCATGGAGGAGAAAGTGCGAAGGAATGGGCATACCAGTAAGAGACGAATACCTATACACCTTAAGTTTTGCCGACGATCAAGTAGTCATCGCGCAAGATGAAGAATATCTCAGCTTTATGCTCAGAAAACTAGAAGAATAATTTAAAAACAACAGAATGGAAATAAACTTAGAGAAAACCGAATACCTAACAACAGAAAACAAGGATATGAGAAACCTAGAGATAGACGAGGGAAGACAAGTAAATGGAACAGATAAATTCAAGTATATCCAGATAGAACCATAATATCGAACCAGGGAACAACAGAAGAAGATATAAACAACAGACTAAGACAAACAAGAAACTGTATAAGACAACTAAATTCAGTGCTGTGGGATAAGAACATTACGATAAAGACAAAAAAGAGAATATATAATACCCTGACAAGAAGTATCCTGACATATGGGTCCGAAAACTGGACAATAAACAAGAGAAATAGAGGTAGAATAAGAGCAGTAGAAATGGAATTCCTGAGGAGAAGCTGTAGACTTACAAAAAGAGACAGAATTGAAAACGCAGAGATTAAGCGGAGAATGGGAGTGCAATCAGACATAATCGACTATATAGAGGAGAAGAGACTATCCTGGTACGGCCACGTCAGAAGAGCGGACAGAGGACGCTGGATAAACAAAATCACAGAATGGAGCCCGATCGGAAGAAGAAAGAGAGGAAGACCCCGAAGGTCATTGAGAGACGAAATCGACAAGGCTATCGAGAAAAGAACCCTGCGAGATGGAGACTGGAATGACAGGGAAAATTGGAGAAAACGGTTGGGTGAAGGAAGATAGTGAAAACTATGGAAATCTTTAGTAGTAGTAGTATAAGCCCATTTAGTGTTTTGTTTTAATTTTTAATTTGATAAAATATCTTACGCGATAGAAAATTGGTTTGTAGATTTTGAATCAGCGCACCAAAATTATATAAAATCACTTGTTACATTTTAAACATCTTTCAGAAAGTTTTTTTTTTGTAGACCTGTGCTGAGATATGCAGCTGACATATTATACAATCTCATAGACGCATCGCAAATTTAGGCGTATTAATAAAATAAGATTGTAATAAGATTTTTAGAAGGGCACAAATCAGATACTGATTTTTCTATGTGTACATTCCCTTTAAAATGTTTCAAGTATTCACTTACGAAATTAAAGTGAGTTATCAGTTTAAAAATACGTGTTTTGTCAGTAAGCAAATGTAGTATGTAAATCAATAGGCTGTCAAAATCTCTGAAGATCATGTAAACCTAATATTCAGTTAATACCCAATTGAGATTTTCTGAAAAGCAGATTATTAGTATATCAGTCAACCGTCCCAAATACATAAACACACATTATGCAAGAAGTATGCAACGTGCTGAAGACGCCAACGTGCAGTTACGAAATTGAATCATTGATGTGGTCACGTGGTATGAGAACTAGTCGTAGTTGCCGACCCACCTGGTAATTATAGGCCTGGAGTTCAGGTTTCATTTGCAGCAACTGAAGCAGCAACAAATTATTATGAATGCAAATGGTTTGAATATTTTTTTAGTTGTCACGAGTAATTATAATATTTATGGCAACAAATAGGTATCATTTTGTTGGTGTGGGTGTAGCTGGAAAAAAATAGGAAAAGTAGTTGTTGTGCTAATACGATCCCAGTGGGCTAAATGTTTGTACACTAATTGAAAGTAATTACTTTGGTTGATTGCCAAAGCCACTCTTGTTAACATAATATTATTTATTGGACTCAACTGTCATTTTTTTACTGTTTAACTAGCTGACCCGGTAAACGATGTTTTGCCTTATAAATTATTTCTATAATAGTTTCTAGATAAATTCTAGTGTAGACAAAAAGTTCTTTACTTATTATAAGTGTGTAAGTATGTGGTATATGCGTGAAATGGGCGAGGAGCGCTATGAACGATAAGGAAATATAAAAATAACAAACGCCAAACAATATTATTTTCAAGTTATTATAGTTTAATACTTAAAATTACATATCACATATTAATTACGATAGTAACCCTAACAAACAAAATCAATCTCTTAATTCTATAGCGTGAACAATATTTTTGTTAGCCCATCTTTAGCGAGCACAAACAAACTGGATGGTTTACCCACTCGAGAGCATGCTACGTACAATTGCCCGTGTAAAAAACATGGTGTACTCAAATCTAAGCCACAAATAGACATCGTTTGTCCTTGGGATTTGTTGACTGTTATTGCAAATGCCAATCTAATCGGAAGCTGAATTTGTTTGAATGTTTCAGCGGATGGATCTTGAAGCATTTGGACGGGCATATTTACTTTCAGCTGTACTTTTTCAACATTACGCCACAATGGAGATGATTTTAAGCAAGCATTGATCTCATCAGCGTATGTTGAACGTGGAATGACGGGAAGTGTTTGTCTTAAATCACCGTAAAGTACCAACAGAGTGCCGCCAAATAGTTTGTCGTTGTTTTTAATATCTTTCAATGTTCTGTTTAACGCATCAATTGAATGTTTGTGTACCATAGTACATTCATCCTATTTGAAAGCGGAATTGAATGTTCGAATTGACTTAAGGAATACGGTGTAATCTGGATCCGTGCCGATAAGTAAACCATTCAATGGTTCAGGTGGTGTTTCAATTTCAAGTAGTTGCACTTTTCCTGACGCGTGACACATCCCAGGTGGCTTATTTTTGAATTTGAGAGCATCACAATGCGGACATTCCATATTAATAGCACCAATTACCACTTTTCAATGAGCATAATATTCAATATCGGGCTCGTACTGGAATGCTAGACGCAAAAATAAATCAGATGTAAATGCACGATGTACCTGTTGGCGTTGTTGGTCATTTGTTCTGCGTCTATTAACCGTGAAACGGCGTAATTGTCGTTGTTCTAAACGTATAACTTCATTGCGCTCAGTTCGTGTATCTTATGATTGTTCTTGACGCAATTGCTGAATGCTCACACGTGCATCAGCATTTTGTTGCTGGACTTGTTCTTCGGTTCTTCGGGATCTTTTATCTCTCATACTTCTGGACCTACTTGTATTACAGCTCAAATCAGCCCCTTTGCGTTTTCTTGGCATTGCTCACTCTACAAAACATATATAAATAGAATTAATGAAATTACTTAATGATGGAAAACGTTATAATTATAATTACGGTCAGGATTATAGCGAAAATATTAATTTTACGAAAAAAAAAAAAAAAAATTGAAACAATAGTAAAAAATTCAAATAATTATATAAAAAAATAGACTTACAACACAAAAGCCGTTGTTGGTTGGAGCTCGTGACACGTGTTGAGTACTTTTAAGGTTATGTAAATCACTTGTTTAAATAAAACTTCATTAATCGTGCCAAATACACTTAAAATTAATAATTTTATTATTATAAATAAAATAGTAATAATTAGTAGTTATTATGAGAGTTACACAGAAATAGAAAATTGATAATTGTGAACGTTACTACTACACTTAATGCATAAACAATAATCATGGATGGCCGAAAACTGTGTAGGGAGTGAGAGAAGTCTTGTGTGAGTGAAACGGGAGACCGGCTTCAGTTTATGGTATAGTGTGGCATTTCATTCACCAGTAAAGGTGCGGCAAATTTGAAGAATATAAGATTGGTAACACTAAGTATATATCAGGATTAAACTTTAATAATAAAAATAAATGTTTATTTTCTTAAAAAACATTTTAGATTTTTAATCGAAGTACAGTTAAAAACACTATAATTGATCAGTTATCGAGCGAGATGAAAAATGATTAAATTACTAAAATAGCCATAAAAAATAGGGATTGATGATAAAAAGTAAAAGTTGAGGGTTGTATGTATTTTTTAATGCAACATTATAAAAAAAAATTAAAAATTTCGTCGAAAAATTAAAAAAAAAAATTAAGAGTGAACAGCCCTTATCACTTAGGGGTATGAAAAATAAATAGTAGGCGATTCTCAGACCTATTGAATGCGCATATAAAATTTGGTAAAGATCGGTAAAGCCATTTCGGAGGAGTACGGTAACTAAAATTGTGACAGGGAAATTTTATATATTAGATGAATGAGTTTAACGTTATATTTGTTGATACTCGATGTGGTATGAGAAAATAACAAGTTATTTAATATTTCTGATACCCATTACAAGACGGTTTGGTTTATTTTGTTAAAAGTATCCATCACTGTTTGGAGAAATTTGAAAAGTAAAATGAAAATATTTAAATTTTGATTCAGTTTTTTATCGATAGGTAACTATTCATCAATAATGTGCAACAGCACTACGATATGCTTGCTATACATGTATTGATGCGATCTGATTAGATGATTGTCTTAATAAATCTCACTAGGGGAAACCTGAAAGCGATGTCGAAGTGCAGAAAGTATTTGACGAAAAAGTGTGTTGTACATTTGGGACTCTTTGTCCATAATGTACCATGTATGTTCGACTTGGCATAAGTAAGTATATCTTAAAGATCGTAATAAACGGTAAATTTCAGCCACGGCAAATGTTACTTGCGAATCTTGATACGTATAATTTGATTTGTCAATTCATGGGTAATTTAGCTATATATGGCGGAGCATTTTCTTGCTGAAATTGGTTTTAAAATAGTTTGAAGGTATAATATAAGAGATGGTTCCACTCCACATTTTCTTGGACGTAACGGTATGCAATCATGTTACCTCTGATAACTAGACGGGACTTTGAGCCGTAAGTCTTCTTCTTCGCGAGCTATATCAGAATTATCCGACGTTGGCGATCACCATTGCGAAGATTTTTCGATCTTCTGCAATATGGAATAATTGTCTTGCATTTGGTATCTGAGTCCATTCACGAATGCTTTTTAAACAAGACCAAACATAGCACTTAACCATTCTTTGCCTTAGTTCTAAACTGAGATGGTTATTGCAAAGAAATGACTTCATTTTCATAAAAGTAGTTTTAGTCATTACTATTCTACGTTTTATTTCTAGGTTTGTTGGTCCATTATCACTGTTCCCAAATATCTAATTTTGTGAACTTTCTCAACTTGGACTCCGTTCAATTGAAACTTTGCATCGAGATGTGGGTCACGACTAAACACTAAAAATTTGGTTTTGTTTTAGTTTATTTTAATGCCCATTTTCTCTCCTACCTCGTGAATACGATCAAGCAGAATTTGAAGACCTTCAATATTATCTGATAGAATTACTGTATCGTCTGCATATCTAATCACATTAAGTAGTTCCCCGTTGATTTTTATTTCAAATGGTTGTCTCTCAAGTGCCTTTTTAAATAACTGGTCCCAGTAAACATTGAACAATGTTGACGACAAAATGCAACCTTGTCTGACTTCTCGTTGTATGGGGATTTCATCGGTGTAGTTATCTCCAATTTTTACGATAGCAGTTTGATTCCAGTACAAATTTTTAATGGCACGAATATCCTTGTCATCTATTCCGATATTTGTCAGTATTTGCATTAATTTTACATGCTGTACTTTATCGAATGCCTTTTCGAAGTCCACGAAACATGCAAATATATCTTTTCTTTGATCACGGCATTTTTGTAATAGGATGTTAGGCGCAAAAAGTGCCTCCCTGGTTCCCATAGCATTTCTAAAACCAAATTGGGTATCTTCAAGATCTTCGCATTTGCGTTTATTTCTGTTGTGAAGTATTCTGAGGAAAATTTTAAGAGTGTGGCTCATTAGGCTAATTAATCGATATTCTGAGCATATTCTCGCATTGTATTTTTAAGGTATTGCAATAAGGATGGATTTGAGCCAATCTGCGGGAATCACTCCGGTCATATAATTTGAATTAAAAAGTCTTTCTACTACTTTTATGTTATCATTCTCGTATTAGTTTCAGCAACTCAGTTGGTGTATCATCTGGACCACAGTATTTTCTAATTTTAGCATTATTTATAGCAAGTTCTACTTCGCATTTCATAATTTCTGGGCCGTCAGTACAGGTTTGGTAGAATTCGGCAATATTATTCCTGTCATCTTCAAACAACTCTCATATATACAGCTACCATTATTTTCTTATTTCTTGCTCATTTACAATAATTTTGATATTAGTGTCAACAACTTCAGAGGAAACACGTTTTTCAAATATATTACTCATTTTATTCAGTTTTTTGTGCACATTAAATAAGTATTGTTTAGATATTACATCCTCCATTGCGTCGCACCTTTCTCTCATCCATTTTTCTTCGGCTAATTTGATTTCCTTTTTTATTCGTCTCTGCAGGTACCAAATACCGTAAGTCCTAACAATGTGTTCAACATGTCTTTCCACATAGACTGTGGGCCTCATCCTTCACGACCTTGCTTTTGAACAATGACCTGGTCATCATTCTTTTCTAAACTAAATTGGGACTCGTCACTAAAGGATATTGAAGTTCACTCCCGATCTGACAATCTCTCCATCATTCAAGCCGGTTATGTCAATGTTATGTCTTCGTCTTAGAGTGCCATATCCCTACGGAACGTCGGCGACTACCAAAGCAAACTAGATAAAAATAAAAAACTTTTTAAATAAAAAACGTTGGACTTTTTAAGAAGTTGTACGTTTGGCTGGCCTCCACACCTTGTAAAACTTAAGAGAATAGAAACCCCAAAGAGTGATCATGCCCCTCCATGGGCTGTCAGCAGTCACAGATAATGGTACTATATCATGTTTCTGTCAAAAAGATCTAGATTTCTAAAATTACCTATTATCCGTTTCGAAACTATGCTTGTTACATGATCAGGTTCCAAAAGGACCTTTTAGATCTTTTTGCAATCATATAATTGTAGGTCTTGCTTTTATTTCGTCTTGCGACCTATACGTCTTCGTCTAATGATACGTTTTAGTGAATTAGTAGTAATCTTTATTGATAAAAATTACAAAAACTCGTTGGCTTTTGTTACTAGGCACAAACACATCTTATATTGCTAGTGGTGTAATTCGACTGACTGAATCGTCATGATATGGACGTTACGAGAGCATACGTGGGGTGTGGATATCTGCACGTCTTAAGTATTTATTAATAAATTGTAAAGTATCTACACTCGGCCCTCCTGAGAAGAATCCGTCTCGGATTCTTCCGATTCTTCATCGATCCACGGCTTCATATACTCGGCGCAAGTAGACGTATTGCTTGGACCATCATGAAGCCCTACCTTAATAACATCGTATCTATTATTTCTCTTCACCTTGATAACTTCATCAGGCCCAAGAAACTTTTTATCTAATTTCAGACCAGGTCCAAACTGTATCCTCTTTATAGCGACTAGTTCTCCTTCTTTTTACCCTTCTTTTTCTTCTTCTGGTAGCACTACAACCCGGGGTGGGTCTTGGCTGACTGCACAACCTGCTTCCATCTCAAACGGTCGTCCATGATGTTTAAGTCAGTGGGTAGCCCCATGTTCTCAAATCTGACCATATGACCAATTTACCCTTCTTTCTTATTTCCTAAAATGCACTTCACGCAATTTGTTATGATAATTTTGATCTTCTCTTTTGCCTTTTGGGCATAAAACTCTCTTTAGTAC